GCTTGATTTGACTGGCGACGACATATTTATTAAACAAATATTTAGAATCTAGTTAGGTTAAGCAACCATATTACAGTGTAGAATATACCAAATTTAGTTCATATATGCATAGCATGCTTTTGAGAATGTACTTCCACTTTACTATTATTATTATTTTTTTTTTTAATAGGTGATTTTCTTAAGCCTGACATATACAAAAATTATGTTCTTAAAAAAGTACTAGAAATATGAAACAATTAGATAGTGGTCAAATAAGTGCTGATCTCTTAAAAACTCAGATGAGTTTGTACAAAAATCATGAGGCCCTCTTTGATGATGAATTTATTGTATCTACTGATACAATTACTAATTGGTAGATGTCTATAGACCTTAAAAGAAATGAAGATTATATTAAAACCCTTGCTCTAAAAATACATTCTGTTTCCCCTCATAATGCTGCCTGTGAGCATGTATTTAGTATATTGAACTGGTATTTTGGAAAAAGACATACTAGGTGTATTAATTTTTTCTCTCTTATTATATTTTATATTATTGCTACAAATGTTTGTTTTTTCTAGATTAAGCATTGAATGCCTGGAGGTTATGGCCAGATGCATTCATTTCTAGTCAAAAACACTAAATCAGAACTAAATTATGTGGATCAAAATATTAGCCAAGAAGATCTTTTGTCGATTTTTAATCAAATAGCAAATTCCATGAAAGATGGCACTGACTTGTTTAGTGAAAAGGATTTGTTTTCTTTTCTGGAAGAATTAATGAAAGAAAACACAAAAGATGTTTTAAAAGAATCAGAAGAATTAGTTAATGAAAATTTAACAAATTTAGAAGTTGAAGACTTTATATCTTTATCTTCTAGGTTGGAACCCAATGAATATACAAGTTTAGATGAAGAAGTAATACATGGAGATAGGGATTTTGATGTAAATGATCTGATTAATAATTAGATTAAGAATATATAATTAATGTTAAAGTCCAAAAAATTTATATAAAAAAGCACTTATAGATTTAAACACCATTAGAAATAACTAAATAATGTACTTACATTAAAAAGTTGGGTTCAACTTTATTACCTGATGGATAGATATAAAAAAGCATTTGCAGATTTAGACAAGTCATTAAAAAGAAAAAAGAATAATAATGTATTATCAGGAGATATATCTCCAATTCATAAAGTGAATGTGTTTTAGGTTCTGATTATTTAGGTTGTATGGTTCCAGTTAGTTATCTATATATTGAATTTATTACTTCTAGTAAGTATTCGCAAATTTTTTTTTTTTGTTTAATTGAATTACTGGACCATTTTTATTGACCCACTAAAAAAATTATTATCATTTTTAACTATGATCAACGAATATCTGCAAGTAGTCTACTTGTTCTTTATTTTAATTTAACCACACTATTTATTTGCCTTTGGATTTCCAATGACCAATAACTATACAATATAAAGTAGATATTTTGAAAATTTATAACATCTAAAGTTTGTAACTCCACATTTTCTCAATATTCATCTCGACACATACTGATGAAATTTTTTTGGATCAATAAATACCAACGTTTTGCTTATTGTTGAGTATATCATATTAATCATTATTATTTTATTGTGTGATCTACAAATATATAATAGTTATAGTTATTTATCTGCACAATCTTCAACACTTTATCTTAAAAAAAAAAAAAAAAAAAAAAAAATAGTAAATGAAAGTATTTATAATGAAACTAGTATTTATTCACCTATATGTAGCCTTTTTTAATAGAGAAAACTAAAATAAAATGGGCCATATATTCATTTCTAATATAAGTACGCTTGAAGATATCTGTGAACAAATTATAAAGCTTGCAAATAAAGGTACAACACCCTCGCAAATTGGTGTACATCTTAGAAACTTGTATAATTTTAAACCAATTAAGAACATTACGATAAATAAAATTCTTCGAATCTTGAAGTATAAAGGTAGGCTTTTTTTAAAAAAAAAATAATAAATAATAAAAATAAAAATAAAAAATAAGAAAAAGAAGCCTCTGATTAAGTAATGTTGTTAATTCATTTCTTTTAAGATTTAGCATCCGAGATTCCTAAAGATCTTTACCACTTGATCAAGAAAGCAGTTGCCATTCATAAACACTTAGAATATAATTGTAGTGATAAGGATTCTAAATTTCAGTTAATTTTAATAGAATCAAGAATCTACTGCCTTGCCAGATTCTATAAAACATCAGGACAACTTCATCCAGACTGGAAATTGTATCCTTAGACTTACTCTTTATATTTATTCAGGAGTTTGTCTTTCAGTTTTACTATATGTGATGTACTTTATTAGGCAGTAAAGAGTTATTAATAAAGATTAAAGATTTAATTTCTAATGAATTCAGATCTCTATATTTACTACTACAATTTTCTGTATAAACTACATCCCTCTTTTTTTTTTTTTTTTTTTTTTTTTGTACTGAACAAATATGGAATGTAACAGATCAGGGCAGTTTATATGGCAAATTCCAGTATAATGTCAGTATTATTCTTAATTTTTTTATAGCGTAGTGAACTTTCGATAATATTTTTTTTCCTAATAATTTTACAAGAATATATATAGTGATAAAGATGCTTAAATTCTAGTTAATTTTACCAGATTGAGAATCTGCCACCTCACCAGATTATACAAAGTAGTAGAACAACTTTCTTCAAACTGGAAGATCAGATTTTTTATATTTTTGCTGGGAACTTACTATAGTCTGCCTTTCAATTATCAGTATCAGTGTTACAGCTTTATTGGATGCTAGAGGATAATTGATTTATTCAAAAGGTTAGCGTAAAGATTTAAACTCCTGAAGAATTTAAATCTTTACATTTTATTATATAATTGAACTTTCTTCTTGTTAAACTTCTACTAAAGACATTTTCAATTCATGTTAATTAGTAGACAGACAAACATAAAAATATGGCATTTATTCATTATATAAATCTGAAAGTATTAATAATCTGGACAGAATATTCTAGTTTGAGTATTGATATGAATATTGAATTGTAGATAGGATGAAAATAAAGTATTATTAATTATCAAAAACTTGCTGGTATGAATGACTCAGATGGATATTTTGACTTTTAATTAGAGTTCAGAAGATAAAATAAGTCATTAATTGTAAAAACCCTACAGGTATGAATGGTTTGAACATAATATTATGGCTTGGTTATTGTCATGAATGAAATAAGGCATTCATTTATTGTTAAAATCTGTAGGTATGAATAATCCAGACTAACTGGAGTTAGGAAAAATTAAATAAGGTGTTCATTCATTATCAAAAGTCTGCAGGGTATGAATGATTTGGATGGATTAGTTATTGTTATAAATGGAATTGGAGTTAAGAAGAATGAAATTATAGATGGAATATATATACTATACATCAGTTGTGCATTAATGTTACTTGCTCTCCCTTCACTTTGATCCTGGTCATGTTAGCACATAGAATTGGTTAGCAGTTAGGGTGGGTATTCAAATTTTAAAATGATAGAGTTAGAGATAGTAAAAAATTGGGGTTTAAATAATTTTTATGTTTTTTAACCTGATTTAATAAAATGTTTTAAACTATTGTTAATTATGATGCTAATGGAAATTACTGCACCTGGTTGGATAATTTTAATTTCAGTATTGCCGTAATATTTAAATAATATTAGATATAATGAAATGATGTTAATTAAAATCACATTTTAAAGCAATATTAATTTAAAACATTGTGTTTTAAATCATTTGCTATTCCTAGATAAAGTTTGTATTTTATCAGTATAAGAATTTTGGAATTTACTAATTTACTCCAACTTCTAATAGGTTGTACTAATTATTTACTTAGCGGGGTACTTATATTATTAATCAAAATTTTTTTGCACTCCGATAATGAGGTTGGGGAGAAATTAGAACACCCAGAATTTTTATATGTACTATATTTTAGATTTCACATTAGATGAGATTTGTTTTAGATTTTGTCTGTTAATCTTTTATACTGTTAGGAGTTTCTATTATCATTGTAAATTACAGTAATGCATGATAAATTCAAAGGAGAGTTGAATTCTAACAAATTTATAAACTTTTCTTAAAGCTTATTATCTATAAAAATTAATAATCTATATGCTACATACTCTATAAAAAAATCAACTTAGCTTTATATTAAAGTTGTATAATAAATTTAGATAAATCAAATAACTTCAAATAACTTTTAGTAAGCATAATAAAATAATAAAACAATAAAACAAACAACTACCATAATAATAATTAAAAAAATTCATATTAATAACAATTAACTAATCGAATATAGTCTTACAATTCTAGTTATCATCACTATGGCACATTCATGTATTTTTAAGTGTTGACTAGACTATAAAGTGTATCAATTTTTTTTTTTTAAACTTAAACAGTTATGCTAGTACTTTATTAAGATTCTTGGAATTACTTTTGCAATTACATAGATTTACCTAACAACTAAGTCTAGCATTACTCGGCCACCCAATGGGTACCTAAGTGCAACCTGCTGCACTACTTCTAACAGAAGTAGGCCACTTGTCTGACTATTTAAAGTTTGTAGTGAAAGGGTCTTTTCTCTTCTACACAAGTCCCAACATTGTCTTCCTAAATTCTTCATTAATTCTATCTTTTTTCTCTTTTGCTTGTTTCTTTTCTTCTTCAATCTTCTGCTGATTAGCCTTTTCTTTCTTCTTTGGATTTTTCTTCTTTACTTCTTTTTTCTTCATTTTGGTTGTTATGTCTTCTTTTTTCTCCCATTTATTAACCTTTTCACACCATATTCTTCAGACTTGTTTATAGAACGTGTCCTATGCTGTTTTTGCTACTGTTTCTATAAACTGCTGTCTCGCTTTTGTATTTAGAAACTGTGTTAGTCTGTCTTGTGTTTTTTTCTAAATTAGGCCTTTAATTAATGCTTCTCTTATCTCTATTTCCTCTTATTCACTTTTGCTAAAGAGTGCTGTATATAGTACATATGGTGGGATGTGAGTTTTTTCTTCTTCTTCTAAACCCTTCCAGGCTGTCGCAATAGTCACTTTTTGAATTCATTTCCACAAGCTCTGTTGTCCTTTGCATGAAGCTAGATATGGCTGTGTTTCTTTAACTTTATCTTGGCATACTTGGCATTCTGTTGTTGTATATATATTTGGCCTTCTTCTATTAAGTTCTTCTAGAGTTAGAAGTTTATTTATCATACACTTTATAAATGCGCATCTTCTTGTACTGCTTCTTCTTGTTGTGCAGTGCACTCCTTTAGTCCTTTTTAACCTTTTCCAAAAATGTGTTCAATCATAAATCGTGATTTCTGTCTTCGGCTCCAAACTTCTAATTGCTTTTGTTTCTTTCTATTCTGCTCCTAGTCTTGCATTCATTATCAATTTGCATAACAATTTTGTAGGTATGTCAGTATGTTTGTTTTCCCACTCTAGGCAGTACTCTATCTCTTCACAACTGACTTTCTCTATTTGTATTACTTTCTTACTTATT